ATTTAACCCTCTTTGCATATAGTGAACAGTTCCCGAACCTGGACCTCAACAGGTATTTAATGTTTCCTAACAGAACAGCCCTGAACATTTGCTTCCAGGTTTTTGGAGAAGACAGCTTTCCAAAAAAGGTATTTAAGAAAAAAAAAAAAAGGATGGCTCAGGGTGGTCCCATGGTTATAGGAGGCAGTGATTCACAGGCCACAGAAGATGCCAAAATATGACTTTCTGATTATGCAAGAATAAATGATTCTAATAAGGGAAAGAAATTGAGGAGAAATCTAAAGGAACCAGCTGTTGCACTGGGAGAATCACATGGAATTAGATTTGAAAATAAAGCTTAGAAAAGATGGATGGAGGTAAAAAACCTACCTGTATATAAGAGTGTCATAATCCTTGAGGACTAAAATCAGAATATGTAATGATCTGAAGCTTGTTGAAAATGCTGAAGGCAAGAAAAAGCTAAGTTTGGAACAGGAGAAAAGTAGGAAAAGCCACTGCTCAGCCTGATGTCACAACGCTAAGGCCCAAGAGAAGGCAGAGCTATGCAGTCCCAGCTTATTTTGCTTCTTTTCCATCTTCTTTACAAAAAGAGCACAATCCTCAAACCAGAAAGGACAGATTAAGCAATGTGAAGAGAATTGTAAGTTAGTAAAGATGCAAAGACAGTAGAAAAACAAAAAACAAAAAAAACACATTCACTCACTTTAAATGAGTTTAAAATCTTTAGGTGCAAAATGAATTCTATTCCAGGGAATTAATCCTCACAGATGTGATCACAAAACCACTGTTAAGTGCCTGAAAAGGAGAAGACGGCAGATTCTAGAAGCTACATGCTTATAATTAGTCCTTGGGAAAATTCTGAAACAGATTAGGAGCTGGATGATTTCTTTAGAAATCAACAGTTTAACAAGCACTGCTCCTCTATAGCTTGCATTTGGGGCATTTTCCATGGAAAATAATATGTAGCATTTTGGCTAGAACCTTAGGTCCCTTCCAACTGAAATACACAGGAAGTTAAACTTTAATTTTGAAGCAGAACAGGTAGTCGTGGAGGCAGCTTATCCTGACAATTGTTTTCCACTGGAAATGTCCTCCTTCTTTGTCCCATGCTCTCTTTCTTCTACTGCCTGCCCAAACTCAAGACTTTAAAGCCAGCCGTATCTCCGTCTCACTGACACATCAATTCCATAAAACAAATGGAATAAAGTGATGAGAGCCAAAATGCATTTCCAGAAAGATCCAATCATATCAAAACAATTTATTCTCTGGATGGGCTTTCTAGGATATCCTAAGTATTATGTATCTTGAATTCAGCAGTTGCTGGTAAGTCTCCTGATGGTAATCTTTTGCGACAAGATGTGAAGTGTAGCACTGGGTAACAGCAGTGTTTAGATGACTTTTCACAGAATCTACTGTGTGTCAGCCTAAAAGTTTCTGTGATGCTATTCCATTGACGGTTGCATCAAAACCGGTTAAGATACCTAGGAATAAACCTAACCAAAAAGGTGAAAGATCTGTACTCTGAAAACTATAAAATGCTGATCAAAGAAAATAAAGATGACACAAAGAAATGGAAAGGCATTCCATGTTCATGGACTGGAAGAACAAATATTGTTAAAGTATACCACCCAAAGCATTCAATGCAGTCTCTATCAAAATACCATCAGCATTTTTCACAGAGCCAGAAAAAACAAACTAACATTTTTATGAAACCACAAAAGACCTAAAACAGCCAAAGCAATCTTGAAAAAAACAAAGCTGGAGGCATCACAATACTGGACTTTCAAGTTATAATACAAAGCTGTAGTAATCAAAACAGTATGGTACTGGCACAAAAATAGGCACATGGACCAGTGGAACAGAACAGAAAACCCAGAAATGGGCCCACAATTATATGGCCAATTAATCTTTGACAAAACTGAAAGAATATCCAACAGGAAAAACATGGTCTCTTCAACAAATGGTGTTGGGAAAACTGGACAGCAACATGCAATGCAAAAGAATGAAACTGGACCACTTTCTTACACCAAAACAAAAACAAGTTCAAAATGGATTAAAGACTGTGAGACCTAAAACCATACAAATCCTAGGAGAGAACACAGGCGGTAATAGCCTTTTTGACATCAGCTATAGCAACTTCTTTCTGGGGATGTCTCCTGAGCAAGGGGAAAAAAAGCAAAAATAAACTATTGGAACTACATCAAAATAAAAAGCTTCTGCATAGTGAAGGAAATAATCAACAAAACTAAAAAACTAAAAGGAATGAGAGAAGATATTTGCAAATGACATATCTATCTGATAAAAGGTTAGTATCTAAAATATATAAGGAACTTATAAAACTCCACACATACAAAACAAATAATCCAATTAAAAAATGGGCAGAAAACATCAACACATTTTTCCAAAGAAGACATACAAATGGCCAACAGCCGCATGAAAAGATGCTCAACATGACTCATCATCAGGGAAATGCAAAAATCAAAACTACAATGAGATATCATCTCACACTTGTCAGAATGGCTAAAATAAAAAACACAAGAAAAAACAGGTGTTGGCGAGGATGTGGAGAAAGGGGAACCCTTTTGCACTGTTGGTGGGAATGCAAACTGGTGTAGCCACTGTTATGGAGTAAAACATTGAGGTTCCTAAGAAATTTAAAAAGAGAAGTACCTTATGATCCAGCAATGGCACTGCTGGGTATTTACCCCAAGAATACAAAAATATTAATTCAAAGGGACACATGCACCTCAATGTTTATAGCAGCATTATATACAATAGCCAAGATGTGGAGCCAACCCAGTGTCCACAGATTGATGAAGAAGTTGTGGTGTGTTTGTATACACGTGTACACACACACACACACACACACACAATGGAACAATACTCAGCCATAAAAAAGAATGATATCTTGCCATTTGCAAAGACATGGCTGGATGAAATCTTGGCATTTGCAAAGACATGGATGCAGCTTGAGAATATTAATCTGAGCGACTTAGAGAAAGACAAATACCATATGATTTCACTCATGTGTGGAATTTAAGAAACAAAAGAACAAAGGGAAAAAAAGAGAAAAGAGAGACAAACCAAGAAAACAGACTCTTAACTACAGAGAACAAAATGACGGTTACCAGAAAAGAGGTGGGGGTGGGGGGTGGTGTTAAATAGGTGATGGGGATTAGGGACTGAACTTGGAATAAGTACTGGGTGACGTATGGAAATGTATGTATGCATTGTTGAATCACTATACTGTATACCTGAAACTATTATTACATTGTATGTTAACTGGAATTTGAATAGAATTTTTTAAAAATAATGTTTCTGTGATACTGCTTCCCTTATCTTTGATTCCATGCTTTTTATCATGCTCACCCAAACCTACAAAGTTAATTTAAATATGCAAATGAAAGCAAATTGTAGAGATGGCAGAATCAGTAATAAAACAACTATTCAATTAAAAATCATCAAATTCTTCACACAAATGTTATTAATAATGTTACCAATAACATTTATCTCTTTACAATCATAGTTCCTTCATTAGACAAACTTGTAAGATGGTGATACACAAAGAGTATACTCTAACTACACCAAATCTAAACACAAAATTTAATAGGTCTGTACGTCCAGATTTTTACAAATGCATTAGGAAAGTACAGGATGAAAGAGCTCTAACTAACAAGTCATACGTATGAAAAAAGGATCTAGTGGTTTTACTCAATAGGCTCATATTTGATATGACAAATGGGTAATGGATTTTCTAAAATGGTAACATTAAGACCATGTAAATAGATGTACAATGTCTAAATTAGCAATCATATGACAGGCAAATCCCAAGTGATAACCACTCTGAACCTCAGTTTCTTCACTTACAAAAGGGAGGTAATACCCACTCCACAGAGTATTTTTATAAAAGGACTTTGTAAACTGTTAAGGATTATGTAAATATGGATAACAAAAGTAGTTTTAATGACAAAAATAGATCTGTTATCTGATCACATCTGGATTACTGAAGTGTGAGCTTTATGTTTTAAGAAAGGCATTCATTGTCCAGTCAAAATACGTGTCAGAGGTTGCCCTTAAAAGAGCTCTCTATTTAAGAAAGTATTGAGCTCCCCAAACGGCTCATCATTTACTCATGAAGAGTTCTGGGGGAAAAAAAATATTTTGTAGAGACATTCTGAATTGTATATATGTGCCTGTTGTAAGGGGGAAGATGTACAACTTATACACACACACACACACACACACACACACACAGACACATTTCACAAATGAAAAATTGGAAGTAAGGAAAGTTATTAGGTTATTAGGTGGCATTTAAAAAAACTGTGAGAGTGTGTTTTGGGGGAGTGGTAGTGAGGAAACAAGTAAATGTCAGGAGCTGAGGTTTCCAGAGTTGAAAGACAAAGACGACAGTTCCGAGATAAAGAAGACAGAAGGAGAGGTCTGATCGTGGAGTGGTGAGGGAAATCAACACTGAAGAATAGCACAGCACAACCAAGAGGTAAGTTATAACTCATGTGCAATTGAATCTCAGTTAATCTTCTAAAAGTCCCCATGTAACACAAAGCACACCCAGGTTTTGCAGGCCTCTAGAAGTCATCAGACACCAATATCACTCTCTCAACCATTAGCTTTCGTTCAACATTTTCTGAATGTCTACTCTGTATCATTTTCTTTCCTAAAAGTGATGCTGTTCTGCTTGTTTGTTTGCTTGTTTGTTTTCTTTAGTGGTCCACTAGAGGCTGGCCATTCTGAACAAAGTCAGTGATAGCTTTTGATTGTTCAGCGCCAATAACACATTTTTATGGGGGTAGGAGTTCCTCTTCAGTTTGCATTCATAACCAAAGTATTTTGCTACCTATTATGCAGGCAATCCCCATATGGTTATGCACCTACTGAAATTTCTAAGATCTCTTATATTCATAATTTTCTAAATTAAAAGATTTCTAAATTTTCTAAAAGTTATTAAAAACACCAAACCCAGTTTTTTGTCCATTTAATTACACAGCTTACTTTTATTTTGACAATGAAGATCAGTCTCATCTCTTTCTGAAAGACGGCTCCTATCTTATGGATTTAAATCAAAGTCAGAAAAATTCCCCAAAAAAGACTAAAATTATCCATTTTCTGAAACATGATTTTAATTGACAAATTCTTCATAACCCAGCTATGACTTCATGCTTCGATTAAAAAGTATCATTTCAGGCATTAAAACAACAATTTACTTTATTTTTTAATTTCCAGGAAAAAAATTCAGGAAATGAAATAGCTTTCTCATTAGTTTATACTAAAACTAAATGAAACAGATATAGGTATAGTCATGGTGATGATTATGGTGATAAACATTTCCAACCCAACAGATCAAGCAAGCACACATCTTTAAGAGTTCTTCCTCATTGTACTATTTACAAGCAAAGAGATGTTTGTTAAAGTTTGGGACTCTTTTACAAATAAATGTTTGATTTCCAAACCAAGCATGTATATTTTAAAATTTAGTGATTTTAGCTATACAAAATGTCTAATTTAAAAAAAGACTATTTTGCTGTTTCCTCCTCTTTACCACTTATTCACATACTAGGGAAAACTAAAAACTTCTGTGTTTCCAATTCTCAAATGATGTCTCAATTTAAAAAGAATTAGTCTTAATAAGAACACATCCTTTCCGGATCTACAAAAGATAATACTCCTGTAGAGATTAACAATTCAAAACACCATGATGAATTAAATGACTCAAATGCTCACCACCAGTCCACTAAGGGGCCTTAGTTTAAAAATCACTTAAAATATACACTTATTTAAGTGTTCATCCTTAGCTATGATTTATTCTAGTTGGATTTGAAAAAGATTGCGAAAGATGGTCTTGACAGACCAACTCTCAATGTTGAGCCCTACTGTGAAGAAGGCAGGAAGCAAAGAAGATCAGATGAATACAGTTTCAAATTCAAATCAGAAACAATTCTTATTTCACCATATCCTGAAACCTTATACTGAACTAGAACTAACATCTTAGTGGAAAAAATTTTAATTAAAAATTACACATATTTGTAAAACACGGAATCGTAGTCATAAAGTCTAGAAGTATTAAATGATTTTTAAAAGAGCTAGAATCACTCAGAAGTTGGGGAAAGTGGATAATATGGTCTTACATCATCAAAAATCTTCTATCAATTCAACATTTAACAGTACAATGGTTGTTAGTCTATTCCAAAACTCAGACTATGCTTTCTGTTCAAATGTGCTGTTTTTAAGAGAGAAAGAAAAGAAAAATGATACATGATCACTTAAAACTAAATGCCAGTTTGGAAATGAGCTGAAAGGTGACAGACTGGTTACCGGGGAGGTAACTAGGAGGTAACTGATCACAGAGACTCTGAATAAACACTCAGCAGCCTGAGAGGGAGACAGCTTTCTCCTTTGAAAAGGGAAAGTTGAGGCCTGTCAGGGATCCTGTGGGGAAATCATACAGGGAGTACACATGAAGATCGAGCTGAGAACTCCCTCTCTAACTACGAAAAGTTACACGGAGAAAGAGGATTTTCTTGTTTGGCCAAAGAAAGAAAAAAACTGGACAGTGAAATGAACACAAGGTATTGGATGAAGACTCATGGTGGTCAAGAATTAAAACCTGGAAGTGTGTTATGAAATAAAGGTTGCAGGAATGGATGTATTTATTTGGAAATTATGAGACCTTTGCTTATTTTAGTAATAGGCTTCATTCCAATCAACTCTCATTTAACACATAGGTGAGGTCTTTGGAGTTTACACATAACAGTATTGACTACACTAAAATTCAAGATATGTTATACCTATCCAGGTCTGGGAAAGACCACGGTTACATTAGGTAATGAATATTAATGGCTTGGAAGTAAAAGGAAACATACCTGGTAGTAAAGCTTACCCTAAGCTGGGGGTTGGAAGGATGCCTGCTAGGGCATATCTACCAGTAATCCATATTTTTAAGTTTTAATTAAAACCTATGTTTTAACATAAGTGGAACAATGGTACGTAGCCCAACATTCTGCTTAAGGCTAGTAAGAAAACTTCCTATTTGGTTTGATGAAGTTATAACCCTGGGCCTCTTTTACCTTTAGCTGGATACTCAATGTATAGATGTAATAAAGAAAAAAATAACAGCTCCAGGGTGTAGGTCTTCTTACAAGGGCCAACATATAAAATAACAATGTTTAAAAACATCCCAGTAATGTTCCAGATCACTATATTCTGCTCCATAGACACATGATTTCAGTATGCAAGACCAGAAACAGAGTGTAAATGTTAGCATAGTCCTCGGGATAAGATCTCACCATACAAGGAAACCGCACTAGGCTACAAAAGTTGATTGCAGTCAGCTTTCCTGCATTTCTTCTTGGAGATGGTGATGGTATTATCATCTTTAAATCCTTGTGGAGCTTTCCCTCTGTTTCATTATGCTGAAAACAACAACCTCCTTGATTGAAAACATTATCAGCAGATATGCTATCATTTTACATGGTGTAGCATATAGTTCTTCAAGATGAGTCTGAGATGACAGCTTTAGTGTGAGTGTAGTACATCTTGGTGCCATTACTGTAAGATTTTTTTTTTTTTTCATTCTGTCATATTAGAGATGTCACCAGTCTAGTGATCATGCATGCTGGTCCTTAAATGCTCTTTGGCACTGCAGGAAAATCCTAGGTAAATTTAATTCCACCTCTGTTTTACCCTTTATTTTAGTTCTCACATTGGTAATTAATTTAAGTCTACATTGAGAGTACCTGCAAGGTTATGCCCCCCTCCCCACCACCCCCACTGAAGTTACTCCAAGATCACTGGGTCACATTTAATACAGGTTTCCACAACTTACAGGATTTGTGGTAACAGTCGTCAGTAGATGGACACTTTGAAAGACTTCATTATTTGCACTGACATTCACAGTTGAAAGCCCTTGACTTGCGAGTACTACTATAATAATCAAACTGTAAGACACAACAAAGTTTAGAGAAGAAATATATTCTGAATCTTGAGGTTTTTTTTTTTCTCCTTGAGTTACATGTATGAAAGCAAATTCAGATGGTGAGGGCTAAGAGAACTTTAAATTGTTTTTAGAAAGTGATTATGGGCAAATCACAATCCTTCTGAGCCTTGTTTATTATTATCATTATTACTTAGTCTTTAAAAGGCAGATTGTTAAAGACTATGTCACAGATTTCAAAGCTCTGAAATTTATTCTAATACAAAGTTTTCTTACTATCCTTTCCTTAGGTTTTCCCAAAGAGTGTGACATGGGATGGGTATGCTTAGTAGTGAGAGTGAAATCTGATTAGAAAAAGCTATGAAAATATTTGTTCATATAAAATATGGCCAGAGGTGAGATGGGCACCCACACTGTAACCTCACTACATTTAAATAGGGTATTTCTTTAAAAATAAATTTAGAAACAGACTATACATGCATCATTTATCCCAAACACATGAATTAATCAGAACATAGCAGGAATAAATACGAAATGTAGCAGAAAAATGGCCTGAGACTTTTTCCTCTGCTACATTCACCAAGTGGATTGAAATGAAAAGTACTAAGTATAAACCTACACACACACACACACACACTTTCAAGCTCACATCCATAGAGAGAGCTACACTTATAGTATACCTTTGCTAAGCAAACCTTTTCTTACATAACACTAATCAAATGTCACAAAGACACAGAGATTATTATTGCCATTTGAAAACTATTCAGACAGGTGCTTCAAACCTTTTTACCTACTCAGGAAAACATGTACACTAAAGCTCTTTTACCTAACAGCTCCTTGCCTTCTTCCCCCTTTCGAAAGGGCAGTCTATGAAAGTTGCTCTACGCACAGCTTAGGTAATACTGTTGTGAAGAGTTATGGAGTATTTGAAGGTTTAATATTTGCCTTTCGGCCTATAGGGTAAAACACCAAGTCTACTAGATGAGATGCACACAGCCCCACAAGGAATGGTCAAAATTCTCATGGCTGGAGTGCGTTATTTTGCTATTTTAACACGGAGATAAAGAACAGTACTAGACCACTGAATTGTACACTTTAAAGCAGTTCATTGTATGTTATGTGAGTTTTACCTCAATAGAACAAAAAAAGGTACTGGGTGCTCTAAAGGCTTTATAAATTTTATGGGGGGGGGGAGCTTTTGTGGTGTTGCTTTTTAAAAGAGCACAACAGTGGGCCTGGGTACCAAACACGAGCTGGAGCAAAACCACTGTTCTAAGCACGGTGCTTTCCTGGGTCAGTTAAAGCTTCCAGGAACCCTTCGAATAATCATAAAATGTCAAGTGGACTAAGAACAAAGTAAAGTCAATGGCTGCCTTAGGAAGTATGGTCTGAAGGAACCTGGAGAGAATGGACTGGTTCTTTCAGTACAGCGATTTCCAGCTGTTTCGTGGAACTTCCAGGTACTTCAGTTCAATTCTCAAGTAGCTTAGATTGCTTGGGCCTGTCTTCAGTTCTAGGTAACTAGCAGTTACAGACTAGATTTCTGTGGAACTCGAACCCAGGGTAGATGCTCTAAAACACTATGGAACAGAACAGATTCCCCTTATGAAATGAACTCTCAGGATAATTCTTTGGGAAAAGCTCCACTGGCATTAAAGCCTGGTATATCCAGCAATATATGGTTGCTAAGAATAATATTCGTGGCAGCAAATCACAGGGCAGAAAGAAGATCTAAGCAGCAGTGGCTTCTCGATCCATCAGCACAGTTTCACAAACAGTATTTCTGAGCAATGATTTGCCCTTTCAGGTATTACCACTTTTACATGTCATAGTTGATATTTCAGCTGACATATATGAAACAAGTCCAGTGATGACTTAATGAAAAATATTTTAATGTCAATAAATTAAGAATGCTTCCAAGCTAGGCGTACTTGCTATTAATTAAATGAGGGAAAAATGTCATTTATCTCTATCTCCATCCCTATTTCATTATTATCTTCAGCAATTTTTCCTAAAGGTCACATCTAAGTGTACAAACCTTAAAAGTAGATTAGTTCAGTAACTTGCAGGTTTATATCTATTCACATAGCATATTCTCTTGAGGGACAAACTGTCAAAATGCTTTTATAATCTTCTATGATAAAGTTCTGAATTTCTTTGCTACTCTTCAAAAATATAGTACTTAATTCCAATCTGCTATATAAAGCAGAATGACCCAGTACCACCAAGTAAGAAGAGAAACCTTCCCTATGTAAGTGGAAAGCTGGTTCTTTTCAGTTTTGCACTTGGGAGAAACTAGCTTACACTTGTAACATGGGCTCTTCAACTCTGCCTCATCACATGCCACACCCACTGCCTCTAAATCTTCCACAGCATGAAACAGGTCTACTATCCCTCACACTCACTGGGCTCACCTATACCTGTCCGGTCTCATCCCTGGCTCTTCCCAAGCCTTCCCCTACATTCTGCTTCCACACCCTGCTGTGCTGAGGAAGAAACGTTTATTCCATTGTGGACATTTTCCTTCGGGTCACTGACTTACAAAAACCCGACCCAGGATTCACCAAGTGGTATCACGCTTTCTCAGTTCTCTCTCATGCAGTCTGCATTCTTACTCTCAAGAAATGACTGGAAGAAAAGTGAGTAGATAAGAGATCACAGGGGTTGTGAAAGCCAGCCACCTTTCCAAAGGGGGAATGTTAGACATTTATCTACCACCCTTTCCTTGGTTCGCACTCACCGCTCAATACTGAATGGTCATCATACTGACCACAGTCTCCTAATCTGTCAGTCCTTTAACAACACTATGCCTGTTCTTTATCCTCACCAAAATCTAAAGTCACTGAACTCCCTTCAACACCCTCACACCAATGGTTCTTTTTCTTCTTGACCACAAGATTAGGTGTTTCAATGCTGTCTTCTTTTCTTTTTAAACTTTTATTATCTATCTATCTATCTATCTATCTATCTATCTATCTATCTATCTACAATCTTTAAGTAGGCTGTAGGCCCAATGTGGGGCTTCAACTCATGACACCGAGGTCAAGAGTTGCATTCTACCGACTGAGCCAGCCAGGCACCCCTCAATGCTGTCTTCTTGAATATCTTTGTATCCCTTTCTTCTTCTTTTAACCAAACTTTCAATATTTGCTTTGTCTATCCTTGATGCTTTGTGCACAACCAGAGAAACATACAAGACCATACCTATTTGAACTCTACAAGTTTTAAGTTTGATCCTTATCTTTACTCAGCAATTCTCGAATTTCTCTTTGATGCACTTCTAGGCTTATTCTTACAGATTTATTTGACCGCCTTTCTTTACAGAATCCCATATCTGCTCTTCACTCCCATTCTCGCACACCACGCATTCAATAATTACTGATCTGAGTCCTTTCCTCTATTCTCATTTTCTCTAATCTTGCATACTCTCTGCTAGATTTTTTGCTTGTTCTTACAGAGAACAAGGTTCTCCTCTCTGAAGCTAAACCTATAACCTAACCTCATCTCAGGAACTTCTCTCTTCCCAGCACTACCAAAATCCGTAATCCTAATGGATTGGCCTACCTTCTCCTTAGCACTGTCCAAGTCTTCCTCTCAATTGGCCCTTTATGTTTTGCTTTGGAATATTTATCCACCTTATCTGAAAGCAATGCATTCTAATACCTACCACCCATCTAATAAACATCTTATTTTTCTCCTTCCCTTAGTTACCAAATGTCTTAAGTAAGTTATCAATAATTTCTGTATCCATATCCTTGACACTTCCTCATGAATCCTAGGAATCTGGCTTCCATCTGTACTTTTATGAAAGGTACATTTTAAAGACAAACCTGAAGGACTTTTCTTAGATTTCATGTTTTCTGGCTTCTAATTCATAATTTCTTCTCCATTCTTATACTATTACTGTTCTAATCCAGGCCATCTTATTTGCACTGGCCAGCAATAACATACTAGAACATTTTCTTCATTCCAAGCAAACACATTACCAAATTAATATTCTTAAAATGCTACAATCAAGTTCCATCTTTACCAAAGAACCTATAGTTCTCTACTATTGACCATATCCACATCTGAATTAACTATTCTTCCTCGTTTTCAAGGCTCTGAGCACTTACTCCACCTCTCCGTATGACCTGTACACTTCAGACGAGTCCATCTCCCTACTGTCCTTCTCTCCTAACCCCTAGGGACCACTCCAATCTCTGTCCCTGGTTCTTTGTTCATCTGTTCCCATTATTGTATTTCCCCCTTCCATTATCTACATTTCAGCCATCCTTCAAAATCAAAAAGCCCCATACTTTTTTAGTGAAGGCTTTCCCTGAGCCAGCTTACATTAACTTCTTTAATTCCCATTTCTCCTTTTGTATCAGCATGGTGTTTGGTTAGTTCACTAAACATTTCATGTGTAAATACCTGCATATATTACTGCCATTTACTCAGCACAAGGAGACAATGTAGTAGGTACTCATTCAGATACAAAGGCTGAGTGAAGCAAGACACAGCACTAAGGGCAGAGGACTTGACACTGAGTAACTGGTTTCGGTCCATATTTTATAGAAAAAGACACAGGTATCATTGCTTTGGGCTATCACCTCTTGATAAGATAATTGTTCAAAAAAGTTATTGTGCTTTCAACTGTATGGTATCCATCTCTTAAAGCCAATTAAGCAAATTTGGGGAAACTTCAAGATCAAATAAAAAAATTTAAAACCTTGTAACTCAACGAGATAAAACATCCCCCAGTTTTTAATGTATGCACATATAACAGAGTGGTCTTCATTTTAAGATTTCTATGCGCCTGCAATTCATTCCTTTCTCTTGGCTTTCTGAGGCAATGCCTCTGTGGGAGTAGCTCCCTATGGACCTGTATCACAGCAAAAGAGAGCTCTGGCAATCCTGAAGGTGCTTGGAACACAGTACAAATAGGAGCCATGCCAGTAAAAATGGGCACAGCCACAATGCATTCAAGTGTTTTCTTTAAAAGAACATATATATAGAAAGCTCTACTTAACACCCAGGACACTAAGAGTTAGAGACATGAGCATACATATATGACTAAGATACTTAAATTAGAATCACGAATGTATGTCTTCCTTAGTAAGATTTTTTTCACTCGTTCCAAATTATCGTCTATTTAAAAATTTCAGCTATCAATATTTAATACCCTTTGTTGCCACTGTCAGAGCAATGAATAATAAAATGAGTCTTGGCTGCTATGGCTGTTCTCATTGTTATATTAAGAGCGGACCCTATAGAAACCATTTGAAATAAAACTGTCACTAGACTGTTATCCTTGACGATAGGATCTGTGCTTCATTCAACCTTGTATCCCTCAAGACCTAACTCAGGTCACTACACAGAATAGGCACCCAGATATTTGATTAATACTCTGTTGAAATACGAGGAGAATATATAAAACACCACCTGGAAAAACAAAATGCAACAGCAGAATGAAAAGGAAAAGTATTAATCAGAAAGTATTTTCTAATGGAATCTTTAAGAAAATAAAAAGAGGCACTTGACATTCATTATGACTTAAATCACTCACTCCAGGTCTCTATTTCTTGCAGTGGCACTAAAACCATTTCAAGTTAGCAGTTCTTAACTTTTCTTTGGGGGGGGGTGGGGTGGGAGGAAGTGTCACCAAACCCTTTATAAATCTGTAATTATGGATTTTCCCTCCAGAAAAAAGTGGACAGCTGCACATACATACAAATTCCTAACTTTGCTAGTACATTCAAAGGGTTCTGAACTCTGGCTTTAAAAACTCCTGAATTAAGAAACAGACTAGTAATTTTTTAAAAGTTAGGATGTAAAAGCGTAAAAAGCTTCCCTCGTGCATGACACAACAATTATGCAGGAATTTAATAAAAATTAATCTGAAGCTTTTTAGAATTTTTCATTCTTTACCATCATTTATTTGGTTTCATCAATTTACTTGCTATGTCAAGCAGTACTTTCTCCTGTGTTGTCATTTCTTCGTGCTTTAACAGAATTCATTACAACTTGATTTCAAGACTTCATTTAAAAAAAGAAACATACTATATGGAATATTAAATAAGCAAAACGGTGAGGCTTATTATTCTAGGTTTACAAGGTCCTGAAATCACAAAGTTAAAGGATAATCTTCAGCTATTCAATGTGAAAATATGTAAGCTGAAGCCTAAATGCCCAAGAAGCATTTTCCTGATGTATGGTGTGTGTCAAAGTGTAGAGGATACAGAAGCAAACCGGAGAGAGTTCTGGGTCCTAGCAAGTCTAGACAAACCACCTGACACTTTTTTGTACCTGGCTAGGAAGGAGAAAGGAGAGAGAAAGTGACCACAGGAAAGAAGCATTGTTTAACACGTGTTATCTCTCTCTCAACACAGAGAAGTAAAAGTAAATGGGAGCGAACCATTTGTCTTTGTAAGAAGATCCAGGCACTGAAAGGCTTGCACTGAGGGCTGGAGAAAGCTAGGTACTAGTAAGTTTCATTACAGGAAGCCCAAGTTTGTTAACAAAGCCTAGAAACCTTGACATCACAGGAGACAGTAAGTGGATGTCTTGACCTCTTAGAGCAAAATGGAACCATGATTAACTCATGATAAAAGGCTTCTAAGAAGGCTACAATATTTTATTTACATTTTCTATATTTCTTGTAATGCTGCCCTAAAATCACTTCTGAATAGAAATTACAGATTGTCATTTATGCAGAATTAAAAAAAAAAAAATTTAAATGGCTAGATAGTTAGCTGTTCCTACACGCTCAGTTAACCAAAGCGAAGGTTAACTAAAAACAGATTTTAGTTTACCTGCTATACCTGAGGACAAAACCATCTAATTTGCTTATTATGCCTAACAGAAAATAATCAGACTTTATATGAAGAGGTACCCTTGAAAACTCCAACATGATATTAAGTATCACTTCCTAATAACATGTTTTAAAATTATTATTATTTTAAATACTTAGGCTTCCTTTTTTGGTATTCATGTTACTCTTTTAATACTTTTCAAAAAATAAAGGCATAGCTTTTATCACAATTGTTTTCTGAAAATGTCAAAAAGGAGAGCGGACTTTCCCCTTTCTTTCCAGATGCTTCATGTAGGCAGAATACGGTCATGTTTTCTGAATCAGTTTCTGTTCACCGCTCAGAATTTAATTGTTTATTTTCCTTCATTGTCAGCTTTCAAACTAGGTCAAAAAAGTGTGTATTATCCGAAAACATCACTTCACATTATGTCCTAACAGAGTATGCCACTATACTCTGAGACTAAAATTTCCTAGGACAACTCACATGGCCTAATTTTAGAGGCTCCTCAATCTCTTCTCCTCCACCTTAGTCTCATTCTGGCCAGGTACTTGTAATAGAGCTTTATTATCACATTTCAATTATTAAACAACGAAGTTTCAAACAGGTATCTCACAGAACTACCAGTTGTTCCATAAAAACGTCACACTACTATGGTTGCTTCTTACATACAATGTTTACCCCAAATTCAAGTTTCTGATAAATCAACTGTAAGTTGAAATTCTGTTTCTGAGGCATTTCCTGGTATACTAGGCAGTGCATTAGAAAAGAGATATTGCATTTAGTCTATAATAATTATCTTTTAACCTTCTGTATATAATTAACAACCATTCAGAAAGAAAGTGCAAATGTGCAAATGAGAGACAACAAAAACAGTTTCTAAACACGTAATGCATTCATATAGGATATTAATCCATACAACTAAAAATAAATGCTGACAACATCCTTCTGAGCATTAAGCGACACCACCAGTTTTGTGTTGTATGTATTCTTTCTTCTCAAGTATTCAAAGAAATGCAATAGACATTATCTTCTTAAATTTTCAAATTTTTCATGAGTATATTAGGATATTACCATTTTTTTCACAAATCAGAAAACAAGGAACTACCATTATCTTTGCATAATTTCAATAATAGAGCCAAAATAAGAACAATTCTAGCTAATCTCATCTGGGATCTTAATTAGTACTACAAGTTTATTTGTGTGAGTTAAAAATAGTATCACTCATGAGAAACAATGCCAAAATTATTATGCTAATAAATAGTGTTAAAGGCCTAAAGAAGAAATACTTTAGCAACTATGAGGTAACACACTAGTTGTAGGCATGAGGAACGTTTATATTGGCTCTTTTGGGTGTATACATTAAATGCGAAATCAGAAAGGAATCATGCAAAAATCCGGTTGCCCATGCAAGCACCCCAGAGTCTAATCCTCTCCTCTCAGTTCTGTTGTCAGGCCACAGTAGTGTGGAGACTTGTAGGCTGCTGTCCTTGTTGTAATGAATGGGAAGAGGCTGACAGTGGCATGGTCGAAACCTTCACCTCTTCTTCCCCTGTGGAAAAGTCAGTCATGGTCTAGTTATGGGTGACTAGATTTGTTAACAGTCCCTTTAAAAATGATTTCAATATTTGGAATACTGATACATATATAAAATACATGCTTAATGGCTGGAATCTGGGTGTGAAACAAGACATGAATTTCAAAATATAAACTTATCAAGTACCTAGAAAGTAGTTACACTGTAAACACACCCTTCAATTTAATACTATGTCAGGTATAAGAACAAATATAATAGATTTAGGACTATAAATAGACAAAAAGGAAAAAAAAGAGACCAGGAAAGCCATTCTTTTCCAAGCCAATTGGACCCCCTTTAAATTCAGATACTCCTCTAACAGTAATAGAATTTTGTGAAAAAAATTAAAAATAAATTCACAGATGTGAAAACATGATTTTTAAAAGGAAAAATGACAAACCCATGTTTTAAAGGCAGAAATTATGTTTATAAAAAAGAAATAAAAAGATACAAATATTAACTCAGCAAATTACCATATAGCATCTGAATATTCAATGTGCACTTCTGAAGTAATGAGAAAATAGTGAAATGCTAGTAATACAATGATCCAATTGACTGAAAGCAAAGATGACTACTTCTAGGTCAGAGAACTATACATGAAATGAGATCAGTTCTCCTAATTATAATTGATAATTACTGTACAAGTGACTTTGTTTCACACATGACTCAAAATTCAATCAAGTCACTGCTAAAATAGCTAATTCAGTAATCATATTTAAAGAAAAATGTCCTCTCACAAGTAAAACTGAATGCACAAAAACATGAAAAAAATCCAATCCTAAACAGTTTCAAATATTTTTCTAAGTATATCTTAAAATAACAATGATTACAGACTGAGACTTACTATGATTGTTTTCCAAATAATTTTTAGCATTATGGATAAAAACATCTTGGCAGAGAGTTCTTGGAAAAACAAATCTGCAAAATTACATTTAGAAATACTTAACTGGCAGATTTAACGGACGACATGAAGAAAAAGACCTCTGGCCTTTAGAGCAGGTTCTTTCATTATTTTTCAGTAAATTGGCAAAGATTCTATCAACTCCAAGTATACAGCAAAGGAGGCTGTGTAAAGGAAATTTTAGACTACTAGAGCTGTTGGTGAGAACATGTTGCTGATAAGGACTGAGCAAGAGATTAATTTTTATGAAGTCGATAAACTTCATTCTACTTTGTAAGTACAGGCCATATCCCTGAGCTGGGCCAATTGTCTCATGAATGGATACTGCTGATGAAAAGGGATCTGCAAGTGTGTGAGAGCATAAATCAATTACTATGGGAAGAAAGCCAAGTTCAAAGTACATGCCAGTGATCTTCATTTGTGAAGAAGAGCATCTATGTTGCAGTGGTGAAACATTTCAGTTTGAACGTGGGATCTGAGTACTTATCCCAATTCTACTACTAATTGAATGTTTGACCTTTAACAAATTATTTAACCTTTCTGGAACATAGCTCTAGTATTTCTAAAATGAAGGAGTTGAATAAGGTAAGTCACTTTTTAGGACAAGAAAAGTCTTTTCTTAAAAGCACACAGTGTCAATAATAAAGATCTAAATGGACTTACTATAACTGCCCACTAATCAAAGTTTTCCACCAAGAATATTTATTTCAAAAGTCCTTCTAAGCTTAGCAAACTGGATGTGCAGCCAAGAAAATGCTGCTAAAATTTTTTCGCCTAATTAAGAAAATAACTAATTTTCAATGAAAAAAAAAGTGTTTTCATTTAGGCAAAAGAAATGGAAGCTGCATTTCTGTCAAACCTCTGGCAACTGTCTTTCCCGTGATAGGTTTCAGATACATAAATTTTTAATAATTTAACTGAAACAAAAACTAAACACTTAAATACAAATATATAACACATAGAGACATGGTATCTGTAGGATATATAGGTGACTGACACCTGACTGTGTGCTTGTAAAGGTCAGGGACGCTGTTTTGCTCTAGGTATCTAAAGAATAAATAAATAGACGTGCCTTTTCCAGTGTTGAGTACTGTCTAAGCATATCTTAAAGTGGCAGGTATCATAGAAAGAGTATGTACTCTCCATTATGAAGCACTTAACCAATATATACCCTGATAAGACACCATGATATTCATTGCAGGATACAAAGTTGAACCTAATTTCAATAGTTCAACTCAAGTACAAATGAGTTACAACTAGGGGTGGGGAAGGTAGATACTGCCTAGGTATTAACTTGCTTCATATTACACAGTTAAAATGTATATAGTTTTCCAGAATTTTATTTCTGTCATTTCTAATTGGTATTAAAAATCCCAGATCATCTGGCTACAATTATAAAACTATTCAGTTTTGAGGCTTAGAACATTCAGCTTCCTGAGGTATTTGCCAAATATTTATAGGACGTCAGAGTATTCTGTGTAACTCTTGATAACAATTTTAAATATTTTGGTGCATTAAAACTAAAATTTCTCTTGTCATCAGAGACTTGAAAATAATCTAATAAAGAAGCTTAATCATCAGTCACCATTTAAATACCAAACAAGTATGCAGAGTCAAAAACGGAAAATCTGAAATAACAAGCTCTCCCAACCTCCCACAAAACACGACAATGATTCAGAACCTACAAGGTGGTGACTTCATTCTTAGAATTTCTGGGAAAAAAAGTATTTTATGCTCTATGGTTGAGTATATGTTAAAAGGAAAACCCACAAAAAGAGGACCATAATGTAATGCCACGTTTTTGTCTTTTTTTTCATAAATATCTAGTTTAGATGAAGATTTCAAATGATTAACACGAGGACAACTACACTCACAAATCTGTAATTATTCCTTCCCACTGTGGCATTTTCATAATATATACGGGTTTGAAATATTTGGGTTAAGATTGTTTTTATGCTGATGGACAATATGATAACTGTGAAATCAGAAGAACAGATAACTTACTGAAGATGGTCATGTAATAAGTCAAAGAAAAGTACACAATGAAGACAGCTAAGAACTAGAGTCCCACAAAGGCACCCTTCTTCCTATTGTATCAAGTGCACACTGTACCCTTGCTGTCAGAGTTCCCCATGTTCTCATCCATTCTATTTATACAATACATGAAGCACCTCCCGTTACTGAAGGCAGTTCTATTGCTTCTTAATGAAATTACAGGCGAATTCCTGCCTCTACGCCTTTACTAAGGAGTCCCATCAGTATAAAAGATCTTTCTCTTTTCCCCACTAACCCAAATCCAAGATACCATAGTACAGATCAATTCCTACTTCTTCAATGAAGCCTCCCCAACAATTAAAGGCTCAACTGAGGTCTCTCATATTCCAGTATCATATAGTCACCGCTTTCATACATAATATTAATTTTATTTCTTCAACTATACTGCAAAATACCTGGAAATAGTATCCATATTTTATAGTTCTTTTGTATTACCCATATGGCCTACTTCTCTGTTGGGCAAACAGTATCCCAAATACTCATTATAATTGATTTAATATTTTATTTTTAAATGTTAAGGATATTTCGGGGAACTTAACTTTAACTCTTAATGTTATAATCAGTTATGAGATACACTACCAGTCATTACATGCCACGTTCCTAAATGATTGAAGCAAAACGAAATAAATTTACGCTCTGATATGCTGTCTTGAATGGAAGGGAAAAAAAGCAGTATCAGGAACTGAATACCTAAGTGTTTCACAAGTGAATATCATGTAGAAGGAGAGGACTGAAAAATGCCACTCGGAATTAACTACAAACTGCCATAATCAAATGAACAAACATCATGAGTTCCACCGATACACGAACCACTACATTGGTGCTATCATGCTCATGTAAGTGAACTTCGCTGTATCAACTGTTAGATTCACTGTATCAAAAGCCACAAACCATATTCTCTGAACTCAGTTACTTGTCTTGAAAATGAAATGAAATGTCATTGGTCACAAAGGGAACAGAGTCAAAGAACTCTGATGGATCTCTTCAAATTTACCTATCAACCTTGCTAGACACAAGAGAACGAACGACTTGCCGGTAACAGCACGTTATTACGATAACACTGTGCCGTGCCGTATCTTAAAGGCCATGACAAGGGATAAAAATGAATTTTATTAATTATGTAACAGAGTGAGGACTATTCTATTCTACTTGAGACAATCGGGAGAGAAACAAACTCTCTCTCTTACCAGTCATCTCTAAAGTCCGAATTAAATAAACTGAAAAAAACCAAAACCTATTAATAAGAAGGATTCCTTTAGACAAAGAAGTCAGTTGATCTAATAAATGTTGTATGGGACCTTAAAACCCAAAAGTTCTGAAACCTTCAAGGGTAGCAGTATAAAACCAGAAGTATTCTGGTACCACTTATAGGAACCAAATATTTTTCCCAGAAATAAAAACATGACAGACAAAAAGGGAAAATATCTCTCCTTCAGCAATTGCTTTTTCACAGAAAGTATACTTATACACATATGTCTGTGAAACATGAATAATCAGAGTTCTCAAAGATTAAGTACTTTACTAACATAAAGCACAGTTTGTGTGTGTGTGCGCGTGTCTAGCAGTCAAAATAAGTACCAAAAGTAGTTACAGAATGGCTTTATCCCTCATGCTCTCACTAATTACCATCTTAAAAAATATTTTTTTTCATTATTTTACTTTTAGAATGTATAATCAGAATTTTTACCATGGTGTTGAACTTTATAGCACCATAATTTCAGAGTCCGTTTTTTTTCTTTTTCTTTGTGCATTTATATTCCATATGGAAGTTTGGTGACTACTCTGTTAAATAAAATGCTTCCAAGTTATAACTAGTTATAATACTCCACCATCCTTATAAAGCTCAATATTACAAGGCATCCATCCAATTAAAATTTTTTTAGATTATAAGGACTTTTTTTTTCCCCATAGAAATTTCCAAGAATAGTAAGTACTCTGTTATTCAAAAATTCTCTCCCTACCCACCCAACAACCTGAAGGCATGAGATATTCACAAATTCTCAAAGGCTATAAATGAACCTACCTGCTATAGGGATCCCTCCCAGACCTGTGTTGTGCTGTGGCGGGAGATTCAAGTCCAAGAAATTACTATTTGAGGTGGGGTTTGCTGTGTGGTTCAAGTGCATGATGCTATTGCGTGGAAAGGCCATCCAAGGATAGCGGGCTGCCTGGCCTGGAAAACTGAATGAATTATAAACTGCTCGGTGCTGCTGAAATTGAGGGAACCTCTGTGGCAAGACTGAAAAGGTACTATTGAGAGAGTTGGCGTTTGTCGGTGCAGCAGGATGCAGGAATCCAGAGCCCGGACCTTTGGCGGTTGTAGTGTGTGAAGAGGAGTTCTGAAGAGACGTGGGCGAAAGGGAAGGCTGGTCTTGGACTGACAGTTCCTTTTCAATCAGGTCTGCTAAGGCTTTTCGAGTGACGTCAAAGGGATCAAAACCCAAGTCATCCTCTGGTTGTTTAGAAGAACCAAAGCCAAATGCTGCTTGCCAGTCTGTGGAGGACGATACCGGGATTGTTTCTGTCGGGAAGACAATTAGTGATGAATTTTAAATACATAGTTTACTTGCATACTTAATGAGTGTCCACACTAGTGAAAGTTAAACATGTTATATTACAAGATAAAGGCAAATATAACCAAAATTTGTATGATTTCTTAGCACGTTAAAATTATAACATTATAAAAATCCTCATATACTTTTAGCAATGATTCCATTCTTATCAACTTCAAAAAAACTGAATGACAGAAACTGATTTTACTAATCAAAGAAAACAAAGTACTTGAAACCCAAATTATACTTTCAGCTGTTCATAATCCAAACCTGGAGAAAGTCATTTAAATGAAATAAGGTAACAAATGTGATGTAACAGAATTCAATTAGTAAAGTTTACTTTTAAAAATACATTTATCGGGGCGCCTGGGTGGCTCAGTCGGTTAAGTGACCGACTTCAGCTCAGGTCATGATCTCACGGTCCGTGAGTTCAAGCCCCGCGTCGGGCTCTGTGCTGACAGCTCAGAGCCTGGAGCCTGTTTCAGATTCTGTGTCTCCCTCTTTCTCTGACCCTCCCCAGTTCATGCTCTGTCTCCCTCTGTCTCAAAAATAAAATAAATGTTAAAAAAAAAAATTAAAAATATATTTATCAAAGACAAAGTCCAAGTAATTTTGAATATATGCTTTATATACTGTTAGGAAAAAATAACGTAACTTAATGAAAAAGTATCTACTTAAATGTTATTATTTTTTAAAACCGTCTGCTCCACTCATAATAGGTGCTATATTGTCAATGTTAACTTTATGGCGTCCTTCACATTAATAAAACTTACAATGAATAGAAATGAAAATAGCTCAAAAATGCCAAAATATAACCTTCAATATTAACTATCATACCTCTCTGTCATCTGGATAAAAAAAAAAAAATCTTACATTTAACTATGTAAACACAAATATGTTTAAATAGGTCAGCCCTTAATAATTCCTAGAGGAATAAGCATTTTATTATCAGAAAAATGATCTAACCCTTCATTTCTGAAGATATCTGTTAACACAGTAAGTTCTAGGTCATACAACTACTTATCTGGCTGTCTTATTCCACGCAGTTTAAATGTTTACAACTGCACGAAAAAGCAAGAGCGGGGACGGGGTAAAAACACATCCATGAGGTCTCATTCCAGTCTAAGTAAAATGATTCACATGCAGCAGTTCTGTCGTATACCTGATGTGAAGAGACTCTGTGGCTCTGGTGCTGTAGGCCAGTCACTGGATGTCTGTGGGGAGCCGGGGAAAGGAGGAAGCCCACTTGGGATCGGGTTGGGATGGCGAAAGTTATCTGAGAATAACGACTGTGACTCAGTTACTGCCCCTTCAAAAGGAGACCGTGCACTGTGATTGGATGAACTGATGGGGATGACAGGATTGGATTTTGATAAACCAGGTGGTGGTGAAGGCGTATCACTGTTAGATATCTAAATAAAATAGGAAGGGAAAAGAATAATCAATATGAAGTTTATACACTTTAATAAGCCATCATTAAAAAGGCTTGCAACAAAAGATATTAGAACAACGGTCTTCAAACTGGGGTGCTTAAGACTTTATGAGAACATGAATTTTCAAATAAAAATCCATTTTTCTTTTTTTTGGATTGACCCTCCTTGAAAAGACTAAGTCAGTCTCCTCTCCTTTCAGAACCTACCTTCTCTCACTTTATAAAGAAAAGAGTATTTCTCACTCTTTGACCAAAAGTGAAAACTTTCTGAGAGCAACAAAAATGTATTAGAAATATTCAGACCGGTGATAAGTGACTAATGACCTGATTCTTTTGCAAACTACGTGATTCTCAATACTTAAGAACAAAATGGAAAGAAGATCTAATCAAGTTATTTCTAAAACATCATGAAAAATAATTTTTAGGAGGGTGGCTCAGTCAGTTAAGTGACCGACTCTTGATTTCGGCTCAGGTCATGATCTCACGGTGCATGAGCTCAAGGCCTGCATGGGTCTCCATAAGAATAGCACGGAGTCTGTTTGGGATGTTCTCTCTGCCCCTCCCCACTTGCTCTCTCTCCCTCCCTCTCAAAATAAGTAAATACACTTTAAAAAAAATCTTTAAGAGAAATAATTTTTGGGACGCCTGGGTGGCTTGGTTGGTTGAGCGTCCGACTTCAGCTCAGGTCAAGATCTTGTAGTTCATGAGTTCAAGCCTTGCATTGGGCTGTCTGCTGTCAGCACAGAGCCCGCTTCAGATTCTCTTGATCCCCTGCTCACATTCTCTTTCTCAAAAATAAACACTTAGAAAAATAATTTTTATGATAAACCTTTATATAATTTTTTAATTTAAAAAAATTTTAAGTTTATTTAGTTTCAGAGAGACAGAGACAATGCAAGCAAGGAAGGGGCAGAGAGAGAATCCCAAGCAGGCTCTGTCCTGCCAGTGCAGAGCTAGATGTGGGGCTTGAACTCACGGAACTGTGACATCAAGACGTGAGCCAAAAACAAGAGTCAGACGTTCGACCGACTGAGCTGCCCAGGTGCCTCAATCTTTATATGACTCTTAGGTATTGAATTCATAGAAGGAGTTCAAAAATTCAATATTGATATAACACTCTTTCTTCCCCCCCACCTATATAAACAAGACACCTCAGCACTGACGTTTTAAAATGAAAACATGGCTAACAATATAGTTAAAACTTGTCTCCTTTACCAACAGGTAATATTCATCTATGGATGCATGAAAACCAATTTTAAAATAGCTCTATCTCGTTAAGAGATAAATGTCCAATACTAGTGTTTATGTTTAAAATTTTTATCAAATTCTGTATATATAAGTTGCTTTGATCAAATCAAAACTACAAATAAAAATTCAGAAGAAAGGGGTGCCTGGGTGGCTCAGTTGGGTAAGTGTCTGACTCTTGATTTCAGCTCAGATCATGATCTCACGGTCAATGAGATTGAGCTCTGCCTCAGGTTCTGTGTTGACAGCATGGAACCTGTTTGGCATTCTCCCTCTCTCTCTGCCCCTTCCCTGCTTGCATGTGCTTCTTTCTCTCTAAATAAATAAACTTAAAAAATTTTCAGGAGAAAGAAAATTGGCATTTTTTAGCCTTGTGTCAGAAAAACATTTTTTTCCAATTCAAAATTCATGTCTATTTTTATTTAAGAGAAGTATATGCCTGTCAAGAACAAACTATGTTGTATTAAGGTAATATTTTATAATGGCAGTGGAAACAGACAAATGAGTTCAGGGGAACAAGGAATGATGTAAAATTTATGATTGTTAAAAAAAAATAGCATGTATATATTTTTTTAAATAAAGGACAGAGCAACAACATTTTGATATCTGAATCTCTTAGAAACTTATTAAAAAGCAATGTAGTGCATTTATTTAAAAACACCAATATTTATAATATCCTGAAAATTACATCCTTTACAACTATTTTTAACTTATTATGAAAAAAATCTTTATTTCTTTGGAGAGAGAAGAGGATAGAAAGAGAGGGGAGGGGCAGAGTGAGAGGGAGAGAGAGAGAATTCCAAGCAGGTTCCACACTCAGCACGGAGCCTGATGCAGGGGTCAATCCCATGACCACGAGATCATGACCCGAGCTGAGATCAAGAGTCAGACAGATGCTTAACTGAGGCACCCCAAAAGCAGTGTATTTTAGATCTCTAAGTTTCTCAAAAACATTGTGGGGAACTAGCCAGTCTTTATGGAACAGATTAGAACTACATTTTTCTATGCCCATGTAAGAAGACGCACAGAGATTTATGCAATGAAAAACTAGCAAATAGACAAGATGATACAAAGCAGGACACAAAGATCAGAATCTCACTCAGTTTCACTGTGGATACAACTTTGAACTTAAACTATTTAGTTTGTTATTTCAAAGCCCACAGTCATTCGGGGATAGGGGCAAACTGTTGGAGGCGAGGACACTGCGAGATACAGAAGATTAAAGCTGACAATAAGCAACAAGGGGGGTATACAGCAGAGAAATAACTCTTAAGAATAAAGGTGGCATGCTAGTCTGAGACCATTTTGTAGATGGTCAAAAAGACCAGTAGTATCAACAGACTCATATGACACTAAAATACTGAGATACCATACAATATGACATATGGTCATAAGGATAAATCTGAGTCATCAAGAAAAGGTTAAGTTATGCTCTTACACAGTAATTCTGTGGAGGAAAAGAAGATTCATTATACTACATTTAAAAAAGGATATCCACTAAAAGTATTTTTAAATTGTTTCAGTAAAGTATTTTCCACTATCCAGAAAATTCACTTGCACAGAATGCTTTGCTTCAAGAGAATGGAATATAAACGAAGTAGAGAATCAAAGTCTTACCTGCTGTGAATTATCACCATTCCCTATACTGAGAGAATCTGAAGGTTTGTCAATGGGGCTGCAAAAAGAAAACACATAGAGTAAAATCAGAGTAAAGTCATTCTCCCACAAGAAAAACAAACACCCCAAAAGCCAGAAAAATAGATATTTTATCATCTTAACATTTGTTGATGCACTCTGATGTAAAGATATTGGTTTAGATGTTGAAGATACAAAGAAGTATAAGATCAAATCCCTACACTTGAGCAACTTAACTTACATTCTAACTAGATTCTCCAAAAACAATGGGTGAAACCATAACTTATGAAAAAAAGTACTGATTAAAGTGAGTACTATTGTAGTAGGTCAAAAATTTAATCCATTATTTAGCTTTGTGCGCATGATAAACACATTCCCCATTAAAATTCTTGGAATAATACTCACCTATTTTTCCCGGTGTTTAACAGAGGGCATAAGTCACCCAAATATTCTCTACAGGTTCTTAAGAGCAACAAATTTCCTTTACTACTTCAAAATCCTAGTTACAACCCTAGAGAAGGCATGTGTGTGTATAAATGCACACACACACGGTGCCTGGGGGGCTCAGTCAGTTGAGTGTCTGACTTCGGCTCAGGTCATGATCTCACTGTTTTGTGAGTTTGAGCCGACGAAACAGAAACTTTTGTGCAAACTATTTACTTAAAAAAGTTTTTTTTAATGTTTATTTATTTTTGAGAGACAAGAGAGACACAGCATGAGCGGGGGAGGGACTGCGACAAAGGGAGACAAAAATCTGAAGCAGACTCCAGGCTCTAAGCTGTCAGCACAGAGCCCAACACGGGGCTCAAACTCATGAACATCAGATCATGACCTGAGCCGAAGTCAGACGCTCACCCGACTGAGCCACCCCGGCGCTCCATAGTTTAAACAAAAACCTAAAACTTGACTTCCATATGGAGCAAATGCAGCATGACAGTAAAGTAACACATAACTGCTGACTTAAAACCAAAACAAAATCTTTATAAGCATTATAATACTGACCTAGCAAACCATTTCCATAACTAACTTTATTTAATCCAGCACATGAATAAAAGATAATTATGATTATATAATTATATAATTATAAAATTACATAATTATAAAAATACTAATACTTATTCTGATACAGTATTACAGGGAGACAAATTAAGATTCCAAATTTCTCAAAATTATTTTATTGGCCTGAAATATGTACAAAGTTATCCTGATAGGCAGACAACCTACTGGTACCACGTTTAATTGCTCTAGAAAAATTTAACAAGGTCTAGTACCCAATCACAATACCAAGTTTATCTTCTGCACAAACATCACCAGATGCTCTTGACTCTGACAAGTAGGTCTGGAATTCACTAAATATCATCTTTAGTTGTTATTATTCACAAAATATCAATTAATCAATTCATTTTAAGTTAAATGGGTAATACAAATAATTTTAAGATAGCGCTTTGAGCCCACTAAGTTTGGAGATACTTGGGGAAATGAGACAGGTACACACCAACATATATCAACCAGTGACAATTACTAAACGAACTGTTTCAAACAATAAATGTCATAGGTCTTTAAAAGAAAGAGAAGCCACCACAAGTGGGGCAATTAGGAAACATTTCCTAGGGGGTTCAAATTGAAGTAGGTCCTCAAAAAGATTTACACATTAGGAGAGGGAAGGGAAAAAGGAGGAAAGAACATTAAACGTAGGAAAAGCAAGCATATCAAGCATCAAAAGGGCACAGATAGGTTTGGGAAAGAGTTAAGTAATTAGTTTAGGTAAGACAGAGGATGCTTTTGACAGCAGTAGGAGGTAAGGACAGAGAGACAGAGAGTAGAACCAGAGACCAAGAGAAATTTTTGCACACAGAAATGACACAAAGCAGTATTAGAAAGATTAATTTGGTGGTGGCATAAAGAACAGACTGGAACATAATACAGATGATAATGAGATGAACTTGCAATATTTTCTAAAAAATTTTCCTGTGGTAAAGTACACTTAATATAAAATTTACTGTTTTAACCATATTTAAGTTCAGTGGTATTTTTTTTTTTCAACGTTTATTTATTTTTGGGACAGAGAGAGACAGAGCATGAACGGGGGAGGGGCAGAGAGAGAGGGAGACACAGAATCGGAAACAGGCTCCAGGCTCTGAGCCATCAGCCCAGAGCCCGACGCGGGGCTCGAATTCCCGGACCGCGAGATCGTGACCTGGCTGAAGTCGGACGCTTAACCGACTGCGCCACCCAGGCGCCCCAAGTTCAGTGGTATTAAATACACTGACGTTGTACAACCATCGCCATCATCATCCTCACCTCTTTTAATCTTATAAAACTGAAATTCTATACATTAAACAATTCCCCAATTTCTCCTCCCACCCGGTATCTGCCATTATACTTTGTTATAATTCTGACTACTCTAAATACCTCATATAAGTGGAATCAAAGAGTATTTGTCTTTTTGTGACTAGCTTATTTCACAATGTCTTAAAGGTTCATCCATGTTGTAATGTATCGCAGAATTCCCTTCCTTTTTAAGGCGGAATAATATTACTTTGTATGTATACCACATTTTGCTTGCTCATGCATCTGGCCACCGACACTTGCTTGGACTGCTTCCACGCTTAAGCTATTGTGAGCAATGCTGCTAAGACATAAATGTACAAATATCTCTTCAAGACACTGCTTTCAATTCTTTTTGCTATCTACCCAGAAGTGGAATTGCTGGATTGTACGGTAATTCTATTTTTTAATTTTTGAGGAACTGCCATACTGTTTTCCCCAGTGACTGTACCATTTTATATGCACAAGGGTTCTAATTTTCCCACATCTCTTTCAACTCTCATTTTCTAGCCCCCCCCTTTTTTTTTTACTATTTTTTATTTTTCTCTTTTTAATGTTTCAAGTTTTTATTTAAATTCTAGTTAACATCTAGTATAATATTAGTTTCAGGAGTAGAATTTAGTGATTCTGTTTTCTGCTTTTTTGGCAGTAGCCATACTGATGGGTGAGGAGGTATCTCATTGTAGTTTTAATTTCTATTTCCCTAATGATTAGTGATGTTCAGCATCTTTTCATGTGCTCAATGACCATACCTCTATATTCTCTGAAGAACTGTCGATTTGAGTCCTTTGCCTATTTTTGAACTGGGATATTTGATTTTTGTTGTTGAGTTTTAGGGATTGTCTGTATATTTTGGTTATTAACCCTTTCTCAGATATGTGATCTGCAAATATTTTCTCCCATTCTGTGGGTTGCTTTTTGTTTTTTTTTTTTTACTATGGACAGTGTCTTTTGAGTCACAAAATTTTTAAATGTTAATTAAGTGCAATTTGTCTACTTTTTCTTTTGTTACCTGTGATTTTGGTGTCCTGTCCAGAAATCATTGCCAGATCCAATGTTGTGAAGCTTAATCAAGCTTTTAATGGTTTTGCTGTGTGAAAGAATTTCAATCTAAAAGAACTAGAAAATATAAGAAGGATATTCTCATACATGTGCCCCCAGGAAGATAAACCTAAGGACTAAAAGACTGCTTTCTCAGAAATGTCTGATTCACAGGAAATGGATAGTGTTGATATTTTCTTCTGGCGGGGGGGTGGGGGGGGAATGATCAGAGGTTGTCCTGTATCGACCTTGGGAAGTTTTGCCAGAGGCATGAATGGAACAGGGCTTCAACTGGATTGATCTCACAAAATGGGATGAATTGAGCTTTGTATGAAAAAACGGAATGATTTTGTTAGCTCAGGAAAATTTTCAAGGCTGGTTTCCTTATTTTTTTTTTTAATTTTAACTGACTCGACCCCAACTTTCCCCTTTCCACTCACTGCGCATAAATACAACCTACCAAAACCCCTCAACGGACTCGCCACAGGTTGCTTGTTCCGAACTGCAGTTCCTCTGCTATTCCTGAATAAACTTATCTCCTTGAGCTTGTCTAACTTTGTTTTATTTACAGCCATCAATTGTTTTGTGTCTTAAATTTAAGTCACTGATCCATTTTGAATTCATTTTTTAATATGGTGTTAGGTAAGGATCCAACTTCATTCTTTTGCATGTGACATCTAGTTTCCTCAGCACCATTTGTTGAAAAGACTATTCTTTCCCCATGGAATGGTTCTGGTACACTTGTTAAAAATCATTTGACCTGTATGTGATGCTTTACTTCTGGGCTTTCTTTTCTTTCTGTTGAGTTATATATATCCGTCTTCAGGCTAATCCCACCGTTTACATTACTGCAGATCTGCAGTTATGTTTTGAAATCAGGAACTGTGCTTCCTCCAGTTTTGTTTTTTCAAGATAATTTTGGCTATGTGGGGTGCTTTGAGATTCCCTATGACTTTTAGGATGGGTTTTTCTATGCAAAAAAAAAAAAAATCACTAGAATTGTGATATGGATTGCATTGGATGTATAATAGCTTTGGGTTAAAGAGGCATTTAAATAATATTGTCTTCCAATCAATGAACATGGGATGCGTTTTCATTTATGTGTCTTTAATATCTTTCAGCAACGGTTTGTAGTTTCATTGTGTAAGTCTTTAATTTCCTTGCTTAGGAACTCCTAAGTTATTTTTCTTGACACTATGGTGAATACAACTGTTTTCATAATTTCCTTTTCAAATTGTTCATTGTTCACATACAAAAATACAATGGATTTCTGTGTATTGACTTTGTATTCTGTACGGAATTCATTTATTACTTCTAATCATTTGTTTATTTTGTGTGTGTAATCCCTAGGACTTTCTCCATATAAGACCACACTATTTACAAAAAAGATAATTTTTACTTATTCTATTTCTATTTAGATGCCTCTTCTTTGTCTTGGCTAACTGCTATGGCTGGAACATCCAATAGCGTGCTGAATAGAAGTGGTAAACGTGGGCATTTGCCTTGTTCCTTATTGTAGAGGAAAAGTTTTCAGTCTTTCACCATTAGAATGATGTTCACTGTGAATTCTTCATATATGGCTTTTATTGTGTCGAGGTAGTTTTCTTCCTAGGTTAAGTCATGAAAGGGTACTGACTTTTGTCAAATGCTTTTTCTGCATCAATTGAGGTA